TGGCTGACTACAGGAAGCCCCTGCCCCGGGCTTCCTGGAATCAGCCGCTGATCAGTTTCAGCAGCAGCTGACTTGGGGATGCCTGGGGTTCTTAAGTTGAATCTGTATGTAAGTCAGAACTGGTGTCCAGATTCAGCCACTGTTGAAACTGATCAGTTTCAGCAGCGGCTGAATCTGGACGCCAGTTCCGACTTACATACAGATTCAGCTTAAGAACAAACCTACAGTCCCTATCTTGTATGTAACCCGGGGACTGCCTGTATTTATACTCATGCTAGCTCAATAAGAGCCAGCAGGAGTATGTGTATGCAAACATGGGAGTCACACCCTAGATATAGCCTATGATTTGAGGTTGATATTGTAAGTGTGAGGTCTAGTGCAGTACTTGAGAGAATCAATGCTGTAAGGTTCAGGATCATACTTGTTTCATAACTACTTCTTTGCACTCCAGGTTGGTGGTGTTTCCATTCCATCACTGCATAGAAACTCCAAGTTATTTTAGGACCCCAATGTGCTAGGCACAGTGGGAGACAGTCCAAGCCCCAAAGAGCTGTCAATTTAAATACATAAAGCAGTTGATAGGGGAGAAAAAGAAAACCCCCATTCCACAGATTGAGAACTGAGGGGCAGATAAATTAGGCCCCAATTCAGGACAGCACTTAAGTATCTACTGAAATTGCATAGAAGTCCATAGGATTTAACCACTTGCATAAAGTTAAGTGTGTTCTTAAGTGCTGTCCTGAATAGGGACCAAAGTGACTACTTTTCTGGTGCTTTAAAGCCCAGGGTCATTGCAAGAGGAATACCAGATAATTCGAGTTAGGGCTTTATTTCAGAATCCCGTTTCACTGCCACGTATAGATGCTGGCAGTTACTTTGGGCTAGTCAATTTGTAAAATGGCGACCAGCTGGGAACATGCAAATCAAGGATATTTAAATCCTGTTCTTCATTTGCAATTTCGGTCGCCCTCATTAGCCTCCCTAGATCGATGTAGGGGGCTAATGTACACATACCCCCTGAGATTTACTCATCACATTTAACCTATAGCTCAGACCACCACCTTTTCCAGAGCTGCCCATTCTCAGGGTACCAAACACAGGTGGTTATTCTAATAACACCACAGTGTGTTCCTTAGGTATAGTTGAAGCAAAATGCAGGACAATGCACGGCTACATTTCTATCACTATTCCTTAGGTATGGCTGTGCTAATGTGCCTGCCTGTTCTCTGACTGCACATGTTCATGTTTGTGGACTGAAGTTCAGTAATAACAACATCTGTTATTTTCTTTTTCCTTCTTTCCTTCCTAGTTTATTTCTGCACTTGAAAAAGCAATGAGGGAAGGCTTGGCACGGCTTGTTTCAGATCAACCTCTTTTCTGATGTTCTCTTACTGAACTCTGATTTTTAATTCCTGGTGACTTGGGGAGTTTTGCCTGTAATAATCCGTAAGCACTCAATGTAGTGTATTTGGTATTATGCTGTTTCCACATGAAATTGTACCAGCTAAATATTGCCAAGTAGTTCCATGTGTTGTCTTATCATTGTGTCTTAAAAGGCATCCACAGTGACCTTCAGAAATGGTAATAAATAAAAGCATTCTAAACTTTTCAGAATCATAAGAGAGCAGTTAAGGGGAAAGTCTTTTGTTAAATGGACATTGTCACATAGTTTGTACCCAAAATTGAGGTTTTATGAAATAGTAAGGCCCAAACCATCAAACCTGGCAGCCTAAATAAGACTATTATCTAATCACAGAAATAAAAGTGGCCTGATTCATCAAGAACACCTGCTAATTTGGTTTTAGTCAATGTGAGCAACAAATGTTTAAAGAATTTGAATGTCAAATTACTTTTATTTAGATGTCTAAATGTGGACTCCAATTTTATGCATCCAGGTTTGAAACTATTTGGCCTGAGTTCTGTACAATAGGAATGTTTTCATGGAGTTTAACTTTGCATCGAGTTCTTTCCTATACAAACTCTGTGGCATTATGCTAGTGTATAAGAACCAGAAGGAGAACTGGATGAGAAGCAAGAATAATACTGACAAGTAAACAAACATCATAAGTACCCCAAAAATTTAGATTAATAAGCCAAGGTGGTGGCCTTCAGATTTATGGTTAATGTATGGCACTTGGACCCCAGTTCTGCAAACACTCATGCCCGTGTTAAACTTTGAGCACAGGACTAGTCTTTTGAAGTCAAGGGCTCTGCACAGTTAGGGTATGTCTACACAGCAGGGTAAAAGTCATATTAAGTTATGCAACTTCAACTATGTCAATTGCATAGCTGAAGTCGAAATAGCTTAATTCAGCTTTTCACAGAAGCATAGAGCACTAGAACTGGAAGGGACCTCGAGAGGTCATTGAGTCCAGTCTCCTGCCCTTACAGCAGGACCAAGCACTGTCTACACACTCTTCCTTCAACTTCTCTTACACCGCATGAAATGAAGGTTACAGGAGTCAGAGTAAAAAGTCCACCATCTTGACATTATTTCGAAATAATGGCTTGCTGTGTAGATGTGCATTTTGTTATTTTGAAATAACGTCAGTTATTCAGAAATAATGCTGCTGTGTAGACATTCCCTTACAGGGCTGAGTTCATATGAATCTACAGGGCTGGGGGCCTTTTTCCATGGAATCTCGCTAAATGAACCATTTGAAAATAAATCAGTGGATCAGTGGGAGATGGGAGGTGAGCAGTGTAGCTGAGAGGACCCATTAAAAACTGAAAAACTTAAGAAACAACAAATATTCTGGTAGCACTTTAAACTTGTAAGTCTTTAAAGTGCTGCCAGACTATTTGTTGTTTTTAAAGTTTTTCCTGTTACACACTAACTCAGCTATTCCTCTGAAACTATTAAAAACAGTTCTTTTATAAAGTGTCCCTGTAATGAAAATGTGCAAGAATGCTAATCTGAGGCATTGTTATTAGTAACGCAAGTAAGACAATCCATAGAAGTCTTAACCTGACACAATCCCCCTTTTAAAGGTGCTCTGCTGAGATATATATTTTTAAAAGTGCTCTTTATATTCTGTTTATAACAGCCGTTGCTGCTATGGAACTTTGAAACTGAAATATATGTTTCATTTCAAACATTTTCTCATTGTCCATTTACACTCTGGTCTGTTATTATAGGGTTGCTCACCAGTGGCGAGCTTCTGGCTTTGTATTAAGGTATTTGAAAGCACTGAATAACTGTCTCAGAAGAGGGAGGGAACCCTACCAGAGAAAATTATACTGGGTTTTATATTCAAACAAATGTAACAAATACAAATACAAATAAAAATGTGTCAAATGTGGGGCCTAATGATATGGACAGGGTCCCTGAAGCGCAGGAATGGGCAAAAGCCTCTCAGCGGGGCTAGATGTGGCCTGTCTAAGGCTTTGATCTGGCCCATGTGGCAGTTCCAGGCCCCGCCCCCTAACACATTGCACAAGCCCTTTTAACTGTTTCTGTTTAAAGGGCTCGCACCTTCTCCATGCCTGTCAGATAACATGTTGCCTCGCAGCTGCAGGGAAGGCATGAGCCCTTTAAATAGAAGCAGTTAAAAGGGCTTGCATGTCCTGGCTCCTTGGCATTTGTATATGTTCCATATGATATAAAGAAATATCAGATGCCCACAGCCTTAATGAAATGGAGATGTCATCTTGAAAGCTATTGATGTATTACTGGGCTTAATGATATATCCTGCTTACTACAATGTTGTGAGGGAATAAATGCACAAACTCCAAAAGCTCATTGAGTAGTGATAGAATGTTTGTTTACCCTACAGTGATTAAGGGACTGATTTGGGGAGGTGCTGAGTGCCATTCCCATTGACTTGGCAGACTGCAGGATAGGGGATGTGCAGAAAAAGGTTAAGCAGTCCAACCCAAAAACATTTTAACTGGCAAAACAATTTTCCGGCTCTTGTAAAAAAACAACTAGGGTCACATTCTGCCACTCTAGCATTCAGTAGTATGTTACTTCTTACATAAACTGATTTATTTTCATGCAACTGTTAAAAACCTGTATAGATAAGGGAAATTTGCATTAGTGTAATTATTACCTATGTAGCTATACTAATGGAAACCCCAACTGCAACCACACTGCCTTGATGCCCTATGTGGCTTGAAATTGTAAGTGGTTGGGATAAGTTGCTCTGGTGCAGAACATCTACAATGAGAGTGGTTAAAGAGAGAAACCTCCCTCGCTCCTCCCCCTATCCTGTATATACAGGCTAAATTACTACTTTTTGCGTGTAAGGATAACAGAATTGGCCTCTCCAGGGCAGTGGTCCTCAACCAGGTGCATATTCCCCTGTGGTAGGTAGAGGTTTTCATGGAAGGTCTGTTCAGTTTGCCTAGTTTTATAACAAGCTAAATAAAAAGTGCTCATGATGTCCATGCAAACTAAACTTAAACAAGTGTTTATACTCCTCTCTATGCAAGTCTATGATTTTGGCACTGGGTATTTTTCTTAAACGTTGTAGAGAGGCTGCGGGCAATAAACAATAAAACCACAGAAACATGCCCAGAGCTGGCATTTGGGGTAGCAAAGCAGGACAATTGCTCAGTGCCCACCACCACAGGGATCCCATGGAGCTAAGTTATGGACAGTAGGGCTATGTCTAGACTACATGGCTCTGTCAACGGAGCCATGTAAAATAGTTTATTCGGCATAGGCAAAGAAGCGGGGATTTAAATAATCCTTGCTTCATTAAAATAAACATTGCCACCGCGCTGGCCTGATGATCAGCTGATCTGGCACAACGGGGCAGTCTAGACCCGCCACGATTGACAAAGGAAGCCTTTGTCGACTGCTCTGGTAAACCTCGTTTCACAAGGCATACTGGAGCGGTCGACAAAGGTTTCCCTGTCGACAGTGGTGCGTCTAGACTGCTGTGCTGTGCCGGATCAGCTGATGGTTGGCACAGCACGGTGGCCATGTTTATTTTAATGAAGCGGTGATTATTTAAATCCCTGCTTCTTTGCCTATGCCGAATAAACTATTTTCCATGGCTCCGTTGACAGAGCCATGTAGTCTAGACATAGCCTATGGCTTGGGCTTGGGCATCATAAGTGAAAAACAGGCTCATGTATCACTTGAAATGTAAGTATAATATTTATATTCCAGTTGATAGATCTTACAATGATTAAAAACATAACATAAGAACATAAGAATGCCCATACTGGGTGAGACCAAAGGTCTGTCTAGGCCAGAATCCTGTCTGCCGACAGTGGCTAGTACTAGATGTCCCAGAGGGGTGGACCGAAGACAATGATCAAGCAATTTGTCTCCTGCCATCCATCTCCAGCCTTGGACAAACAGAGGCCAGGGTCACCATTCCTTACCCCCTGACTAATAGCCTTTTATGGACCTAACCTCCATGAATTTATCTAGCTCTTTTTAAACTCTGTTGTAGTCCTAGCCTTCACAGCCTCCTTTGGCAAGGAGTTCCACAGGTTAACTGTGCTGTGTGAAGAAGAACTTTCTTTTATTAGTTTTAAACCTACTACCTATTAATTTCATTTGGTGTCCTCTTGTTCTTCTATTATGGGACCTAATAAATAACTTTTCTTTATTCACCCTCTCCACACCACTCATGCTTTTATATACCTCTATCATGTTCCCCCTCAGTCTCCTCTTTTCTAAACTGAAAAGTTCGTCTCGTTAGCCTCTCCTCATATGAGATGCATTCCAAACCCCTAATCATTGTAATTGCCCTTTTCAGAACCTTTTCTAATGCCAAAATGTTTATAAATGAGGAAGTCGACAATATTTCAGCAACAGTGTGCTGTGACACCTCTGTACTTTTGTCTGATTTTGTGAGCAAATAGTTTTTAAGTGAGGTGAAATGTGGGGTACAGTAATTAGAAA